GGTGTGGGGGGGGGGGGGGGGGGTTGAAAAGTTAGGCCCTCTAGTCACTGTTTTCACTATATACTTAGCAAATTATCTAAAACTAGATGCGAGGAAAAATGTTTAGATGGGCACTTGAAGAGTGTAATGTTTTATAGGGATGAGTGAATGCTAAAAAAAATATAAGAGTATGCAAACCAGTACAGTCTAGTCATGAATGGGCTTCTAAACTTCTTCGCCTATCCTCATTGAAATACAGTGGGAAGGATATTAAAGAATTTCATGTGAAAGCTCATAAATCTGATAAGGGGTAGATTTTGGTCTGTGTAGCTTGCTTCGCTTTCCCTATTGGAGGAGGTAAAGAAACAAAATGATGAATACAGTAATACCTCGGTTCACAAACTCTTCTGTTCGCGAACAATTCGGTTCGCGAACAGGAAGTTCGGCAAAATTTTGCTCCCGTTCGCGAACTCCGCATCGGGTGACAAACATGACCGCGGCCATCTTCACCACTCTGACATGTGGTCGTGGCTTCCTTCAGTCGAGATTGCGGTCGCAGACAGACCTGTGCACACTTGCTGTGAACTTTGTGTGCTTTTTAGCACATACAGTATTGTACAGTATTTTTCAATCCAGCTTGGCTCCAAAGAAAGTGCAGAGCAAGCATGGTGGTAAAAAGAAAGTGCAGAGCAGTAATGAATTTACATATGGTTCAGAACAGATTAACCTTATTTACATTGAACCTTATGGGAAAATTTGATTTCACTACCAGAAGCGTGGAACTAATTAAGTTTGTGAACTGAGGTACCACTGTAATTTCTTTTTTTAACACACATAAACAAATGTATTTGATACATTAGCAACGAGATCCACCTTTCTAATTTCTGAAATTGCTGAAGTCTGCCTGGGTGTTGCTACCACCACATTTAATTGTTCCAGTATCTGCTGCTGCAATTCCCACAATATGTAGCGGATAAAACAAAAATCAAACAGGGGGAATGGAAATCCCTTATAATAGCCACAGAGCTGAAAAAACATAGTAACTCAAGTGCAGGGATCGCAGAGATTTAAGAAACTGCCAGATGGTTTGACTCTGCAGCACCTACAAACAATAAATATAAGCCTTAGGTGGATTGATTGTTTAACTATTTTAATTTTTTGGGAATTACATTCTTTGTGCCTACAACCAAATATAGTAGATGTCTATATCAATGTGGAGACATTTCTACCTCTGTTATCACATTTTTAGGTTTAAACATTTCAATAAAAACTAAATTAACAAACAAATGTATTAAACATAATTAGGGTTAACTATATCCAACATAGTAACTTATCAATAAGTTTATAAGCATTTGTGTTGGCTTATACACACTACATGACCAAAAGCCTGAGAACACCAAACAATCAAAAATACATTAAATAAGCAGGTAGTAAAAAACCTTCACACTTCAGGGAAGGCTTTCCACAAGACATTAGAGTGTGTCTGTGCGAATTTGCGCCCATTCAGACAAAAGAGCGTTTGTGAAGTCAGATACTGACGCTGGGTGAGAAGAGCTGGTGTGTCCCATTTGATCCTGAAGGTGCTCACTATGGTAGAGGTCAGGGCTCTGTGAAGGCCACTGGAAATATCCACATTGAACCTCATCTTCAAAAACCTTTTCTGTTCCAGTATAACAGTGTACAAAGCCTTGTGTACAAGTGCAAAGGTATACTAGAACAAAAAAGAGCCTTCCCCAAACTGTTGCCACAATAACACACATATTTGTCTAATTGTTGTTTTGTGTGCTGTAGCATTAACAGCACCTTTAACTTGAAACACCTGAACTCAAATCATTTGGAAGGGGTGTGCTCATACTTTTGGCCATATAGTGTACATTATTGGTATTATATTCTAATGGCTTGCGCTACCACAACGATTAAAAAAAAACAACTGACTCGTTGCCATAAGTCCTACCATGTCCCGATTACATGATTTCTGCACATTACCTTTTTGGTTTTACTAAATAAAGCTGGTACTGTCTACCATCCATACACCACTATCATCAATGGCCAATGGCCATCATCAAAGTACTTTAAACTATTATCTTGTACCTTTTTAGCAGTGTGGACAGTATAGGGCAGGGTAAGTCTCCAACAAGGTAAAAGCCAAGCAGCAGCAGCAGCCAGCAAAGCAAACAATATACTGTACTGGCATGCATTAAAAGAGGGAATGTAACAAGGGATATATGAGTGAGACTTCCACTTTATAAATCACTGGTACAGCCTCATCTGGAGTATGTGGTGCAGTTTTGGTCGCCAACTCACAGGAAAGACGTCCTCGAGCTGGAGAGAGTTCAGCAAAGGGCTACAAAATTAAAGGGATATAAAGCCTGTGCTCTATCTGTCCCCAAAAAAGGGTATAAAATTAATTTCAGTACAGCGCTGCATGACGGAATAAATGTCAGTCAAAGTACCGCAGCGCTGAATACTGAAAAATGGCCTGGATGGGAAGGGGGTTTAACACAGCGGATGTCAACTGGTTAAAGACCGCCTTCAAAATTTACACTTATTCACCTTAGAAAGGTGATTAGGAGGGGACCTTATTGAAGTCTTCAAAATCATCAATGGGGACCACAATATTTGGAACAAACAGTTTACTCCGAAAGCTGTATTGAGAACACGGGGACACAACAAGAGGTTGGAGGAAAGGGGGTTCAATCTTAGAATTTGTAGATGTTGTTTGTTGTTTTACTGTGAGAATTGTGAAATTTCCTTCCAGAGGCGGTGATATCTGCTGATAGCATTGATAAAGTCAAGAAAAGTCTTGATGAGTTACTTATTTCACTTTATATACAGGGATATGGGATGTATTAGAGCTATATAAACACAGACATACAATCATATACACACATAGGTTGAACTGGATGAACCCTTGTCTTTATTCAACCTTACCTACTATGTAACTATGTAACCAACGACTAACAGGGAAATATAAAATGTAATCTTTTGCAGCTAGTCAATAGTCAATTTAACCATCATAAAGCAATAGAGTGAGCAAGACAGCTATAAAGAGCCTCATAAAATGGAAATGGATGTATACGGAAATATCAAACTTCACTTCAAGAAAATGTCTTGTTTTCCATTTGCAAGAGTCTCCCATATGACGGAAGCATAGTAAATTAGAATCAGAGGAAAAAGCCTTTGGGGAATTAAGACTATTTCCTGTCCCTCATTTGTCTGCATGGAAAATGATAAGGCCGACTATATGGAGCTTTCAACGACTAATTAGAGCAAAGTGTTATTGAAATACTCCACAATTACAATCTCAAATCATTTCCACTAGAAAAAAATGAAAAAAAAAAAAA